AAAAAGGCAAAGCCTCCTGAAGAGAAAGCCCATTGTTCGGTGCTCTTTTCCTTCTTGGACATGGTTGTGAGCTTGGAAGGGCAGCAATACATTGGAGACCATGAATTGACAAACATGGACATGAAAATCATTACATTGAAGATGGAGGAGTGGAAGAAGAGAAGAAAACCTGATGGTATCAGCACCATTGAACTTCAGTAGCAGCTCTGTTTAGCTTAGAATGTAATGTTGCATAAAAGACAAAAGCTCCCTTACGTACCTAGTCATTTAAGTCACCATTTTGGGGAGGCTTCTGCTTTTGCAGGTAAGTACAATCTTAACGTATACAGTGATCAAGGAAAGCTCTATTTAGATTTATTTAGATCAAGGAAAGATTTACTTTAGAATAAATATGTAAACACAAGCATGTATGTTTGAGAGAACCTAAGTGCTATCACCTTACTACTTCTGCTAAGACTAGTTAATTTATTCTATCCTATCCAAGATGTGGCACTTTTGTTAGTCAACATCACGGTATCAAGGAACTCATGAACAGGAAAAAAATGGTGCCTTAAACTTCTGGAACCCTCCACGACTTGGCCTGGGATTGAAGCTAACTATGTAGCCCATTGCTGGATGGCTCTCTTGCTCTTGACATTGCCTCCGAGTAGGGAGCAGAACAGGCAGTCAACAGAATGCTGTACACAGTGCAAAGGAGGAAGGAGGCTAATTTGCATAAGGTGCCAAGGGTCTTGTCAGAAAAAGAGTCTGAGGTCCCTACTGAGATCCCAAACCCTACTTTCTGAGATTTCCAAGTTAGAGAAAGATGGTGGGGTATAATGTCATGGCTTCAACCAGGAGATGTGGTCCCAATAAGAATAAAACAAATAATCTTGAGAAGAACTCAATGAGGGTGAAGAGAAAGTATGGCTTGGTAAGTTACATCTCATACAAGTGTCCAAATATTTGTAAGGCTTGTTGGCTCTGGTCCTGTTGTTGACTTATTCTTCATTCAGATTCAGGGCCCCCTCACTATTGTGCCCTCCCCATGAGAGTATTATACATCTATACCCTATGAACTTGGGCATGGCTGTGTGATTTGCTTTGACCAATGAAATGTAGTGTATCACTAATTGAGAGCATTTAATGATATGAAGCTCAGAACAGATACTTGATGGTTATAGGCACTGGGGTGTCTCATTTCCAAAACTGGGTCTCACAGAAGGCCAAGGTTGTGCCAGGTATCAATAGAATTCAATGGGGGAAAATTGATACTCATGAATTTTTTATTAAATATCTAAAAATATCAAGTCTATAGTTATCCTTAGTCTCATGGAATAATTCATCATTAAGAAATGGCATGTCATAACTGAGGACACTGCTGTTGTAGGATAATATTGAGAAAGATCAATTGGTGCTCTTCTTACCTCCCACCTTCTACTCCCAAGTTGTATATTAAAACTAAATTCCTTCTCTTGGGCTTTTCTCCTCTTCTTTCCCCAACCCAGGCATCCAGACATCAGCTACCCACTTCTCTGGGTGGACAGAGGCATGGAATACAAGAAAAAAAAGATGGTATATTTGAGTCTCAAATTCAAAATGCATTGGTGAAAGGCAGACAATTGCAGGGGTAGTAAAAGGCACAATAGATTTTTAAAAAACCCATGAGATTGGAAGAAAAAATATTAGGAAGCATTGGGAGGAACCATTCTAAAGGGGCGTAGCATACAAGTTAGAGACCATAAGCTCCCACGGAAATCAGCACAATGTGTTTCCAGTCCCAGGAGGTTCTCTCAAAATCAATTACAGGCCTGTCTGGGCCTCCTGTTCTGGTCCAAAGAGGACTGCTAATAGACAGTTGCCAGCGCAATGCTCATCAGTCATCCAGCATGAGTGACAGTCATCTGTGCTCTAAGATTTTATTCAGGGCCCCCCTCCGATTCACCACAAGTGGATCCAGGATGCTCAAGAATTTCCCAGAATGCAAAGTAGGGGGTGGACACCTTGTAGAGGGTGGTGGTAGTGACCAGGGCTTGTGGAGAAAGCTCCTGCCTAGAACAAACTGGGACCAAAAAAGGCCAGCCGAAAATCGCCCAGCATGCCCCTGGTCCCCAGGAATTCACCTCATTCCTGAAGTATAGATTCAGGATATCTGATATGCACTTTGCTCCAAGGGCAGAATTTACCCAAGTCTGTGTTACATCTTAAAAGGTATTTTTTTTGTCTTAAAATTTTTTAATTTGACCCAAGAGAACCGAGAACATATTTTTACAGAAAAGCCTGTACATGGATGCTCATAGCAGTATTATTCATTGTATCCCAAAGTGGAAACAACTCAAATGTCTATCAACTAAAGAATGGGTAAACAAAATGTGTTATAGCCATCATATAATGGAATATTATTCAGCCATGAAAAGTAATGAAATATTGATTCATGCTTTAGTATGAATGAACCTTGAAAACTATGCTAAGGATCCAGACACAAAGATCCTAAGTAAAGGACCACATGTATAAATTCCTACTATAAGAAATATCCAGAAAAAGTAAACCCACAGAGATAGGAAGTAGATTAGTGGTTGCCCAAAACTGGGGGATCGGAAAGTGGGGAGTAACTGTTAATGGGAATAGGGTTTTTGTGGGGTGATAAAAATATTCTCAAACTAATTGTGACAATTGCATAGCTCGTAAACATACTAAAAATGCTTTAAAAGGTTGTGATATATCTCAATCAGAAATTAATTTAAAATAATATTTAGTTTTGATTGCATGTAAAAATATATTTACATACACTTGTTCTCAGTGGATCCAAGATTGAAAGAAAAAAGTTGTAAATAAAAAGCAGAGTCTTCAGAGCTTATAGACTCTAAAGCAAGCAAAAAGTGAATGCTTCAAAGTAAAAATGAAAAATCATACTTTGTTTTCTAAAAAAAACAAGAAGGAAGTGAACTATCTGAGATGAAGCAATTGAATTTTGGAGAAGCCTGCCTCAGTAGTCCCCAGGTGTAGCAAAGCACACCGATCATACTGTTCTTCTGTTTCTAAAAAGTGTGATTTTTGAAAAAGGTTGTATGTAGTTAAGGCAACATTTAGGAAGAGACTATATGCTGTCCTTGATCAGCAACCTTATTTCTGATATTAAAGCAGACTCATGATTTTTTAAAAGTCACAAAACTATTTTTTTAAAGACAAGCATCTTTTTTTTTAGATTTTATTTATTTATCTTTAGAGGGGAAGGGAAGGAGAGAAACATCAATGTATGGTTGCCTCTCATGTGTCCCCCACTGGGAACTGGCCTGCAACCCAGGCATGTGCCCTGACTGGGAATCAAACCATGAGTCTCTGGTTCACAGGCCCACGCTCAATCCACTGAGCTACACCAGCCAGGGCTCACAAAACTATTATTTTTATAGAAAAAATTTTGTAAAACATAATTTATTCTAAAAATTAAAATAGCAAACTTGATTTATTTATTCTTAACATAAAATGATTTATTTAGGGTTTATTCTAAGAATAATAAGATATGCAAATCAGGTTTAGATCCTGATTGCAGATGCAATTGGTTCAATCAATCTATATGACCTCATTTTGCCGTCCTCACTAATATAATCTAAGTATGCATTTTATTTCACGGGCCCTAATTACTATCCTGTTAAAACATTACACTTTCAACAGTGTTCTGCATTTAGGCAAGTTTGGGAAATGCTTTTACGGCATAGTTCTCTACACACCTTTACACTGGAAAGCTGTACTTAAGAATTGTTGTGGACCGCTCTGCCTGGTTTCAGGAATTGTAACCCTAAGCGCCACCCCCTACCCCTGTGGCTAAGGCTGTGAGTGACCTCCGGAATGCGAGCCACAGGAGACAAAGTTTGTCTCTGGTAGCAAACGCTGCCTCGATTTTCTCCCTGCCCCCAAAGCATGGTCAGAAGTCCATGGTGGGTAAGTCTCCCTTCAGTGGGGAGCAACCTAAGCCAAACTTGACCACTTGGGAGGCCTTCGTGGAAGGACTCGGGTGGGGCAGGGGCTGCAACAAAGAGCAAGCATTAGACCTGCATGCTATGTGACATAGCCTGAGTCACCATGTCCTCTGGGAGAAGTGCTTCCTGCCTCTAATCCCCTTAAGCCTGCAAACCTGATGGAGAGGGTGAGGAGGGGTGCAGCTCCTTGCCTTGCTGGAGTGTGTGTGTGTGGGGGGAGGAGGAATCTGGCTTCACAAAGAATTCCTGATAAACCCTTGAAACCTGCTCTGCTAAGAGTGCTTTCATTCATATGATAAGGGTCCAAGCAGGAAATGAGTTTGTCTCTCAAAGTTTCTGTAAAACCCCCTTTCCTGACAGACACTGCTAACTCAGACTAAGCCCTTAGATTTCTTTGAAATGTTATCTACTGTTTGATCCTTGCCGCCCTGTATTCCTGTGTATTACAACCCAATAAAAGCCCCTGGAGGAAGGGGCTTCTGGCCTTTTTCCTCTGAGAAACTGGCCACCTCTCCTCCCCAAGCAGATCGTGTCATGTCATGTTTACTTTCATCCGTGGTGGACGGGGGGACTCGCGGGAAAGGTCACCCCTCAAAGAATGTTAAGTTATGCTATGGGAAAGAACAATCCCAAAATTTCAATGGACTATTTTTAAAAGTTTATTCTGAGCTCACATTCTGTATCTAAGGTAAAGTGGCAGGGGCCTCAACTCATAGGCAGCATGACAGTGGCTCAGTTTCCGTATTCACTCTCAAGGTCCCCCTAGAGGGCAGTGCGGTGTCTTGCATGGGCAATTAAATTCACCGTCCAGAAGAACACATATCTCTCCCACTCACATTTCATTGGCCAAAGAAAACTATATGACTACATGTAATTTCAAAGTGGGCCAGAACCTGCAATCATACTTTGTGCCTGGAAGGAAGAGAGACTGTTAAACAGCCAATATGTACCTACTAGTCCAGCCACTGTCCAATAGACGTGTAAAGCAAGCCCCAAATATAATTTCCCATTTACCAATAGTAACATTAAAAAAAGTGAAGAAGATTACTTACCTGGCAGGGGAGATACCACGATCATGAAGAAGGTTTTCCCAGGACGAGACTTACCCATTGCATTCTGGGTGTGCTGACCCCTGTGATTTTCCCAAATGTGGGAAACTTGACTGCATAATTTGGGGAAGTGGGGGACCGTGTTCTTACTCTCCCCTAAAATATGAAAAAGAATTAGGCAAAATTCACTTTAATAGTGTATTTCATTTAAACAAATTTATCTAAAATAAGATTTCAATAGTAACCATAAGAAATTATTGAGGAATTTTATTGGCTTTTTTGAACTAAGTCTTTGAAGTCAGGGGTATTTTATACTTACACGGCACATCTCAATTCAGACTGGCCATATTTCAAGTGCTCAGCAGCCCCATGTGGCTAGTGGCTGCTACCATATCGATAGTGCGGCTCTCGCGTGTATGTCTGGGGAACAGATCACTAAACACTACCACAAATGTGAACTTTCCTTGAAGAGTCTTGTTTTACTTTTAAAAAATTTAACATGTATATTTTAGTGAAAAATATTTGGTAGATTATTATTGCATGAAGATTGCTCTGGGGAAATAGACTATGTTAATCCTATAGCTGTGCTTCTCACCTGTGTATTAGCTAGGACCCCAGAAGAACCGGACCAGGACCTGGAGATATCTGTTTCAGTTCCTGGGGATATTAATTAGTTTGAGGACCTCAAGTAAGTGATGTGGCCTTGCCGAGCCTCAGTTTCCTTATCTGTAAGGCAGGGTTAGACAGGATAATATGGAAAGTACTTTTTAAATCTCATACTCTAAGATTCTTGTTAGAATTGAATTATTATGACAAGGGCTGGACATTTTGTTTTCTTTTGCTTTTTACAGAAAAATTGCCCTTTTGTACAGTAGCCTGTTGAGTAACCTGTTTGGGGTCTACATAGTTAGCTCCGATAGCCATATATATTTCGTATCATCACTGAGCAGTCATCAGCAAAAGTTGGGGGGGGTTCTCCTAGACCCCCAACTTGGGTGGCACAGGCAGCTTCTGAAGACTGGGAAAGAGTTGCTTTAGGTTTAGTGATTTGAAATCAAGACCCTGTTGGCAATGATGTTTATTATAAAGGGGAGTCTGATGAATTCCCTCTTTTGGCATTACCACTGGAATCCCACTGGGCATTTCACTTCACGGAAACGAGAAGCCCAGTGTCCGTAACCGATTAACGATCCACAGGTTGGGTCAGAGGCCAGAGGAATTATTTGAACAGTAAATGGGGAGGGGCGTGGAAACTTCCTGCTTTTACTCCATGGGCAGTGAACTAGTCTGGTTGAGCATGAATGCTGATGTATGAGAATCAGACCTCACTCCTGCACCTCCCAGGGGTTAGTGACTGTTGTGATCTTGATTTCACTTTGGATGGATTTCAGCACAGGGAGAAGGCTTGAAAGAGCCTTGGGCATAGGCTCTGCACATTCCTGAGTTGCATCTGATGTGTTTTTCAGACGACGCTTCAGCCCCTTACCTGTTCTTCACATTTCTAGAGCAGCAAGCAATGGAAACATGAGTGTCTTCCTATAGTCTGCTCTGAATTCATGCACAAGGCAAATTTTACTTCCTCTAATTATTCTAAATCTTTCAGACAAGACAGCAGGATTAATTAGCAGGGTTTATTTACTGTTGCACGTGCACTTGGGAATGAAGGATTTAGAACTAGGTCACTAGGTGAGTGTAATTCATTACTAGTGCTCAGGGCAAAATGGTTTATTTAAAAATATTAGTAATTTTTTTATTATATATAAATTGAATACATGTGTTTTATTCTAGTCTCTTTTAATCCATATAAAAATATACATTGAGTATCTTTATGAGAATCTCAGATTTAAACTGTTGGACCTCTTTTAGCTCAAGGAAGTAGGGAATAAGGAACTGAAAACTTTTTAATTAAATAGTCATATTTAGACTTCAAAATTTAGGCTAAGATGTTGATTTTTGAAGCTTTATGCAGAAACCCTAACCTTCAACATCATTCTTATCCCTTTGGACACAAATTCATACCCAGGTTGAGTTTCCCCTTAAGAAATGGCCTTCATGTTTTAAAATAACGTGATAAAGGAACACAAAGGCGTGCGCATTTCTGCTTTCCTCCCAAGAGAGACATGTTATCAGTAAATTCCCACATTCCCGGATCAATTTCTGGCAAGCAGGACAAAATGAAATATGTAATGTGAGTTCAGGCGAGGTGAAGTGCGACTATTTAATTGGAAAAAAAAAAAAACACCACCTGTGTTTTTGTTCGGTTAGAGCTGGGTGTTTATTTCTGGCTCTAGGGGCCAGACGGTCCTATTGAGTGGGCCAGGGCTGTGTTGGGCATAGGAGACACGTTGGCCAATTCTCATTCTCGTTCCGTCCTTCTTGGGTAGCCTTTTGTGGGGGTTCTGTCAGGAATCACTGAGGGCTATTTAGGGTCTTCTTCTACAGGCCTCAGACGTGGGCCCACAGGCTCGACCCTTCGAGGCTGGAGCGCCTCACCAGACCACTGTGGGCTCCTGTCCCCCCCACTCGCCTTTCCTGTCCATCCCTGCAGCCACTCCCCACCTCCTATACCTGTGGCTGCCCCAAACGCTGTGCGCTTTCTCACTCTTACTCTGTCATTCTTGATGTTCTCCCTGACTAGTCTCTCTCATTCCCTTTTCTCTTGCTTGCTATGTGAACCTTTACTCGTTCTTCAAGACCCAACCTGAATTTCTCTCCCTTTGTGAAATCATTCTAAAGTCCCTTGGTGCTACCTCTACCGCCCTTGTCAGAAATAACTACTACCCCCTCTGTACTTTCAAAGCACACTGGTTATTTTTCTCTCTTTAGTATAGCACTTTCCACGTGGTTTTCTGATGCTGCTGAGGACACACTACCCCCAATGAGTACCTGAAGTAGTGAAATGGGTTGCAAAGCAAGAGGACCCTGAAATAGGAGATATTCCCCACAGCCCATGAATGGGGGAAGGGGAGATGCAGATGATACAGTTTAAGATACTTTTCATAACAATGGCAAGGTGATAGCCCTGTCTTTCCTGAAGGGAAGCGGGCTACTACCCCAGGCAAAAGGCATAGTGACTTCCAGAGTATTCAGGGACTCCTGATGTAGCCAGAGGTTTGTACAGTGCCTGCGGGAGAGGCAGGGAGGTGGAGGTGCTTGTGTCCCTGAATCATTCTTGCCCTGACTAAAGATGGCAACCAAAAGAATGTAAATGTTATGGGGAAATTGGCAAAAGTAGCACAATGTGGGAGGAGCTAGATAGGAGGTCATGTAGGAAGCTCCAGGTCAGGACTTAAAATTGAGGATGCTCTGAAAGAAAAGAAGATTCTGCCATGCTGCCAGTGATATGGGAGACTTTGAAAAACCTCTATTTAACCTTTATTTGCCCAGGCCCCAGGCGCCCTAGGGAGAATGATGGGGCCGTCTGGGAGGGCGGGTGGCCGGATAGTCAGTAGGACTGGAACTAGCACCCCCGCTGATAGAACAATTATCACATTCTGCTTCTGTATCCCACGTTTGTCACGTGGACAGGAAGACCCCTAAGCTATATAACCCCCCAGGAATCCTTTGTTCGGGGCTCAGAATTTGGATACTGACTCCTCTGGGCCTGTACACTTTAAGAAATAAACATCGTACTCCAGAATCCCTCGGTGTCTGGTCGCTTCATTTTCCTGCAACACCAGTAGTGAGGGAGAGGCTAGTCTGCTCCTTTGAGGATTCAGCCATGTGACCTGGACTGTCCGTACGGGTAACAACCATGCAGTTTGCAAGGGTGTAGAAGGGCCCCTCATCTGCCCTGAGGTCTAGTGTGTGAGAAGGTGCCATGCGGTTTTGGATTAAGAGCTGGAGTAAGAAAAAGGAGACCTGCTGGGAAACTTCCTGGAGAACATGGCAGCATGGCTGACAGTGCTGTGAACTGCAAGGACCTGCCTAACCAAACGCGGACTAGAGAGATGCCTGGAATGCTGAACTATGACCAGAAATGCTGAGCCGCAGACTTCTGCTTTTCTGAAAGGTGGTACCTCTGGTGTGTTCTGAAACCAGCCTGGTTTGGCAAAGGGAGGCAGGACTGTGTGTTTATGGATGTTTTTAAAGGAGTGAGACTTAATGGCAGAAACCTGCCATTAACTGTAAATCCGTATAACCTTTAAATAAACAACCCCCTTCCTTTTTCACCAAACTCTTGGCATTGGGAGTCACGCTTCTTGGCAGCAGGCATTTGAGTCCCACTGGTGTTCCAGAACAGCATTGGCAGGTTCTGTAACAGTAGGTCAGAACTCCTTAGGTGAGAGGCATTCTTCCTATACCTGGAAGAAAGGAGCATCCTTGTCTCTAAGACAGGGATTCTGAGAGGAATCTGAGCAAACAGGTCTTACTTGCTGCAGTTCACTACACTTGGTCCAATCACATTTTCCAGCACTTTCCACTCTTCATCCAACACTCAGGTTTAACCAGTTCTTCCAGTCTTCATTTCACTCTTAAGTTTCCTGTATCACGTAAAACTTGTATTAAATAAATGTGTGTGCTTTTCTCTTGGTAATCTGTCTTTTGTTACAGAGACCCAGGGAGAACCTGGAAAAAATATTTTCCTTCTTTACATTTTCATAATCACTTGGCCATAACCAAATTTCTCATGCTCTCTGGACCTCAGTTTCATCATCTGTAAAATGTGAGTATAAGTGATACCTACTCATAGGGCTTTCATTAAGATATGATACTTGCAAAGTCTTTAGTATTGTGCCTGGCATACAGTAAGAACTCAATCAATGGTAACTAATATTATTATTGTAATTATCATCATAATTATTTATAGTATGGAACAATGTGGAATACTATTTGTATTAATACAAATGCATTTGTATTAATCTTTGCAATGTATTAAAACTCTTATAATTTATCATTTCAGTGAATCTTTCAGTAACCCTGTGGCTTAGGTATAATTATATCAACTTTACAGATGAGAAACTGAAGCTCAGAGAAGTTTAATCCCTTCATGTGTTAGTCATCTTGGGCTGTCACAACAAAATATAGATCGGGTGGCTTAAATAACAGAAATTAATTTTCTCACAGTTCTGGAGGCTGTAAGTCTGAGATCAGGGTGCCAGTATGGCTGGGTTCTGGTGAGCACTCTCTTCCGGTCTTGCAGACACATGCCTCCTTGT